GCCACAGGAGGATTTCGTGGCACCAGCGGGACACCGCGGGCCATCTTTTGCTTTTGCCGGTGGAGGGACTCTTGGTCCGGCCGCGGCCCTGCCACAGGAGAATTTCCTTTCGCCCGCCCACGCAGCTTCGCCTCGCCCGCACGCACGCACGGCTCTCACGACACGAACCCGAAACCGAAATCGATTTCCCGGTAGGGGTGGTCTCCGTTTCACGTCGGACTCGCCCCCAAATTTCCGATATTTATATATATATATACATATATATATATATATATATATATATATGTATGTATATATATGTATGTATGCACATACATTTATGTATATTCTTATACTTTTATTACACGAACCCCCCCCCCTTAACCGGACCATCACCACCCAGGACACCCCAGACGCCCCTGCCCTCCACCCAACGAACGCCCTGGACGCCCTTTCGGAGTCCCAGCGGCCTTCGCGGCAGTTGGACGCCCTTGCCGATCGGAGCCCACGGGCCCAAAACGGACCCCAAAACGGCCCATCAACTTTCAAAGAGGACCCAACATGGTTTCAAGACGGCCCACGTGGCCCCCAAGACGGTCCAAGAGGCCCCAAAGGGGACCCCCAAGAGCCAAAAATTGCTCCATGCCCTGAGGAAACGTACGTTTTTCAAGATATTAGCTTTTTCCGTTTTCACAGCGTCCACGGCATCTCCAGAGACTCTCAAGATCGCCCCAGGACGGCCTCCGAGGCCTCTATGAGCGGCCCAAGGGGGTCCAAAAGAGCTCCAAGACGGATCAAGAGAAGCCCAAGGCGGCCCAAGAACAGCCCCAAAAGGAGCCCTCTGGTCCGGAGAGTCACCAGGAGCTCAACCGCGTGCCCACACCGTTCCAATATAGCTTCCAGCTGTTCTCTTACACTCCACGATACCGTAGTTCGCAGGACGGTGGTTCGAAAGGACCTCAGAAGCCCCACAGGCGTCCAAAACCCCTCCAGGCGTTCAGGAAGCGACCAATCGTCGTCGCCGCCGTCGTCATCTCTCTGTCTCTCTCTCTCTCTCTCTCTCCCGTCCCCCTTTTCTGCCTTCTTTGTCGACCTCCGCGTCCTTGGCATCGGATGGCCATCCTCATTCGCCCGTTCCTTCCTCTGGACCTGCTCCCCGTTTCTCCCCCCTCGTCCCCCCCTCCGCCCCTTGAGCCCCCCCCTTCCCCCTGGTCCATTCCTGCTTCCCGTTCGCAGACAGGTGCCATCGCAACCGTTTGATGCTTCGTCGTGTGCCAGCACACTCGCGCGTGGAAAAAACATTTTTCTCTTCCCACTTCCGCACACAGGCGTGCAAGCACATCGGGCGAACGCACTGTTAGCAAGGTCCAGGGACAGCAGAAGAATGAGCCAGCCGCCCGTCCAGACCTCGACGCCCCCTCTGCTGAAACACGCGATGACTTTTTGCCTTTCCGAGAAGCGCCCGGAACAAGATTGCATGGCGCGAAACGCCAATGCAGTCTTGTATATGTCTATATGTATGTATATATATATGTGTACATATACGACCACCCTGCGGGTGATAAGGAGGTTGGGGGGGGGGGCAGCAAGTGGCGGTTGTTCTGACGATGCCTGTGGTGCGCAGTCTAGTGAGTAGTGCGATCGTGATCGCGAGCGTGGTGTGATGTGGCGACGTTGACGAAGTGCACTCGACATTGTCGTGAAGCGCTGCCCCCGCGTGCGCTTATCAATCGCGCAAACCTCACCTCAGCGCTAGTCGACGTGATCGAACGTGCGTGTTGCGTTGCCACCCCGATTGCTGTTGATAGCGATGTGCCTTTCGATCTGCATCCGGATTTGCATATCGATGTGCATGTCGATTTGTTTTGCGATCGGCATCTCGATGTGCATGTCGACATATCGATAGGCATGCCGATGTGCTTTTCCCTCTGTATCTCGATGTGCATATCGACTTGCATTGGGAAGCAAGCCGTAGGCGCCTTTTTAAAAATACGCCACCCACAACGCCAGACGACTTGTATTTGGACGTGCATGTCGGTTTGCATGTGCATGTCGATTTGTTTTTCGATGTGCATCTCGATTTGCATGTCGGCTTGGATGGGGAAGTTCGCCGCAAGCGCCGATTTTTTTCGATACGCAACCCACGACGCCTTACGATTTGCATGTGGATGTGCATGTCATAGGGAGCTCCACCGAGGCCCCTTTGGGGGTGGCCACATGCGTCCGCCACACCCAATACAGCGTTTCGTGGCGTCACAGGGATATCCAACTAAGAGCCCACGGGGGGCGGCCACATGCGTCCGCCACACCCAATGCAGCGTTTCGTGGCCCCATAGGGAGTTCCACCGAAGGCCCGCCCAGTGGGGGTGGCCACATGCGTCCGCCACACCCAGTACGACGCTTCGCGGCGCCGTAGGATTTCCATCGGAGGCCCTAGTAGGGGTGGCCACGTGCGCCCGCCACACCCAATACAGCGCTTCGTGGCTCCATAGGGAGCTCCACCCAAGGCCCCAGTGGGGTTGGCCACATGCGACCGCCACACCCAGTACAGCGTTTCGTGGCCCCACGGGGATCTCCACCGAAGGCCCCAGTGGGTGTGGCCACATGCGTCCGCCACAACGATTACAGCGCCTCGTGGCCACATAGGGGAATTCCACCTGCGGCCCGTGAGGGGGGGGGGGGCACATGCGTCCGCCACACGCAGTACAGCGCTTCGTGGCCACAGAGGGAGATCCACAGAAAGACACCACTGGCACCGCCCGCATGCGTCGTCCACCACCCAGTACTGCATTCCGCGGCCCCATTGATTGTGAGCTCCACCAAGCCCCAGTGTCACCGCCCGCATGCGCCCCCCCAGCCGGTACAGCGCTTCGTGGCCCCATAGGGAGCTCCACGTAAGGCCCGCCCGCATGCGACCCCCCACCTAGTGCAACGCTTCGTGGCACCATAGGGAGCCCCACCGAAGGCCCCAGTGGTACCGCCCGCATGCGTCCCGCCCTCCCGTGGCCCCATGGGGAGCTCCACCGAATGTCCCAGTGGCACCGCCTGCATGCGTCGGCCACCACCACCCAGTGCAGCCTTTCTTGGCCCCGCAGGAAGCTCTACAGAAAGACCCCAGCGGCACCGCCCACATGCGTTTCTCCCAACCAGTACAGCGTTCCGTGGCCTCCTCGGGAGCTCCAGCGAGGGGCACCGCCCGCATGCGTCCGCCACACCCAGGACAGCTTTTCGTGGCCCATAGGGAGCCCCACCGAAGGCCCCAGTGGCACCGCCCGCGTGCGTCTCCCCCACCCATTGCGGCACGTCCCTCATGCGTTTCGTGGCCCCATAAGGGAGCTCCACCGAAAGCGGCACCCACAACGCGTTACTCACAACTGCATGTGGTTGGGTCTTTCGCCAGGGTAATGTTGCTTTATGTTTTCAACTGCTTGTAGACGTTACAAAGTTCGCACCACTTAGTTTCCAACGCGCAGGTTGCAGGAAATTATTGTTGACAGCCGCTCGCAATGCATAGCGTGTAGCCGAGGCCGCTGCCGCGACACGCTAAGCAAACATGTCTCATTGTAGTATGGAGTTATAAGCTGGGGTTGGCTAGACGTAACCCACGTCAAATGCTGTCAAGCTCTAAACTGCCATTCACCTAATATTTGACGACGGTGCCGACGCAAAACACCTTGTCTGCGACATACTGAAGTTTGTGATATTTCTTTTGGCGACGGCGCCTCTTCGGTGAACCACTAAGTTCCCTTGGTGCTCTGTTGAAATTTGGCAGGGGGCTGGCACAGTATTCGTTCGCCGGCGAAAATCTAATTTCCGCGTTGTTCCAACTTAGCTGCGGAGCGAAAAGCAGAGAAGTAGGAGTAACCTCCTGATCCCCTCAGCAACCTTCTGCGGTGTTCACAGCGGGCACCCAGGACCATCGTCGTCGTCATCGCGGTGTTCCCTGGAGTCAGCGTCCTCATCGTGAAGTCGCGTCTTCGGCAAGAAGAACTGGGGGCGAGCCCCGCGGGAAGTGAGAAGGGGCGCTCGAAAGTCGCCTGGCCCTCTGAAAAGCTGCCTAGTGCTTTCCCCAGAGACACTGAAAGCCTCTCAGAGGACCGGAGAGCTTTTGAGAAACCCCGCCGCCTTCTGAGAAGGCCTCACTCGTTCTCACTTCCCCAACTCGCTCGCCGCCAAAAGAACCTGAGCATCATGGCGCCAACATCGCAGAGCGGATTTCGTTCGGAGAACGGCAGGGTGGGCCCAGAGTGCCCTGGAGAATTTCGTTCTGGATTTCGAGGTGCATTTCGTGCGAATTTCTGTTAGGCCAGGAATGAAGATCAAAAATATCCCACGCGAAATTCACTTCGTTTTTCGCTTGCCGCTTCGGGCAAGCATCCACGCATAAATCCACGCAGACATTCGCTGCAGCAAATCTGCAATACCGGTGCAATGATGAGTGTCCCTCCGCCCCCTCAGCCACCCCCGCGGTGTTCCAAGAAGACGGGCCCACCACCCAACTCAGGCACGGGACCTGCGACCGCCCCAGCACCTTGTGCGGTCGCCTCGTGGTGCTTTCTTCGGCTGCACCTGGGGCCAGTTCCAGCGCGACGTTGAGCGAGCCGTCGACTGGAGGGCGCTCTATTCCCATCAGGAGTCTGAAGAAAAAACAACAACTTTCGTGAACTCCAGATCTCGTTCAGACAAATACCCAGAATCTGGACTGGACCCTGGGCGTGTTGTCCGAGTTTTTTTGTTCGAGAATATGTTCGTTGATGTGGACATGGACTCAGGCAAGCCTACTTGCAGGGGCATGTCAACCAGAAGTCACCAAGCTCCTTCTCCTCCTCCTCCTCTGATGGGTGCGCGTCTTCCTCCTCCTCCTCCTCCTCCTCCTCCTCCTCCTCCTCCTCCTCCTATGCCTTTTCCTCTCCCCTCCCCCCTCGGCAGCCCCCGCGGTGTGAGCAACACGCTGCGCAGAAGTTCCCGACCGTGAGCTCGAGGCTGGCCATGCCCCCCCCCCCACACCCGCGGCCGCTGAGGCCGCCGCGGCCGCGGCGAGGCCCAGCCGCCGGGACGGCGGGGGCGGCGACGCCCAGAGGGCCGCGGCGGAGGAGCTGCGCAGGACCACGCTGCGGATCGGGTCGGACGACGACGACGACGACGACGACGACAACGACGACGACGACGACGACGCCGCCGCCGCCGCCGCCGCCGACGACGACGACGACGACGACGACGACGACGACGACGGAGTCGACGACGACGACGACGGAGTCGACGACGGAGTCGACAACGGAGTCGACACGACGGCGACGACGACGACGACGATCGCGGCGACGACGACGACGACGACGCCGACGACGACGACGACGACGACGACGACGACGACGACGACGACGGAGTCGACGACGACGACGACGACGGCGATGGCGATGGTGATGGCGATTGCGACGGTGATGGCGGCGGCGGCGGCCGCGACGGCGGCGGTGGCGGAGTTCGAGCTTTGAGGCTCTAGGTTTTCGGACGGTCTCGTGGGTTCCCGAAAGTTCCCCAACAAGTTCAAAAAGTTTTCGTGACGGTTTCGTGGGTTCCCCAAAGTTTTCCAGCTTCTTGGTGCCTTCGGGCAGCTGGGCCTCGCCGAGGGTGTTCCGGGGTGTGCACGAGTCGCCCCGAGCGGCCGCCGGAGGCCCGAGCCATGTTCCGAAACCCACCTATCCCAGATCTCGGACGATATGTGTTTCCCAACCCTCCTGTGTGTTGGGTCCTCGTTTTGGATTCGCAGCGCCGCGCATCTCCTTCCTTCCTTTCTTCCTCCTGCCGCTCCTCCCTTCTCTCATCTTCCTGTTCACTCCTCTTTCCCCGTCCTCCTCATCCTCTTCTCCCCTCTCCCGATCACCATCACCACCACCATCATCATCACCATCATCATCCTCACCACCGTCATCACCACCACCATTATCATCACCATCACCATCGCCACCACCATCATCACTCTCATCACCGTTTCGGCGCACCCCTCACACGTTTCGTGGCCCCATAGGGAACTCCACCGAAGGCTCCTGTGGCTGCGTCCGCATGGTGACTCGGGTCGCTTCTGGCACACCCCTCACACGCTTCGTGGCCCCATAATTAAGGAGCTCCCCAGAAGGTCCCAGTGGCTGCGTCTGCATGGTGACTCGGGTCTCTTTGGGCGCACCCCTCCAACGTTTCGTGGCCCCACAAGGAGCTCCACCGAAGGCCCCAGTGGCTGCATCCGCATGGTGACTCGCCCCTTCTCGCACACCCCTCACACGTGTCGTGGCTCCGTAGGAAACCCCGCCGAAGGCCCCAGTAGTTGCGTCCGCATGGTGAACTCGGGTCCCTTTGGGCGCACCCCTCACGCGCTTCGTGGCCACATAGGGAGCTCCCCAGAAGGCCCCAGCGGCTGCGTCCGCATGGTGGCTCGGGCCCCTTCTGGCACACCCCTCCACCGTGTCGTGGCTCGATAAGGAGCTCCACCGAAGGCCCCAGTGGCTGCGTCCGCATGGTGACTCGGGTCCCTTTGTGCGCACCCCTCACACGTTTCGTGACCCGTGGCTCCATAAGGAGCTCCAGCGAAGGCCCCAGTGGCTGCGTCCGCATGGTGACTCGGTCCCTTTGGGCGCACCCCTCACACGTTTCGTGGCTCCGTAGGGAGCCCCGCCGAAGGCCTCAGCGGCTGCGTCCGCATGGTGACTCGGGCCTCTTTGGGCGCACCCCTCCAACGATCCGTGGCTCCGTAAGGAGCTCCACCGAAGGCCCAAATGGCTGCGTCCGCATGGTGACTCGGGTCCTTTCTGGCACAACCGTCACACGATTCGCGGCTCCATAGGGAGCCCCGCCGAAGGCCCCAGTGGCTGCGTCCGCATGGTGACTCCGGTCCCTTCTGGCACAACCGTCACACGATTCGTGGCTCCGTAGAGAGCCCCACCGAAGGCCCCAGTGGCGGCGTCCGCATGGTGACTCGGGTCCCTTTGGGCGCACCCGTGGCCCCATAAGGAGCTCCAGCGAAGGCCCCAGTGGCTGCGTCCGCATGGTGACTCGGGTCCATTCTGGTACAACCGTCACACGTTTCGCGGCTCCGTAGGGAGCCACACCGAAGACCCCAGTGGTTGCGTCCGCTTGGTTACTCGGGCCCCTTCTCGTAGAAGCGTCACACGTTTCGTGGCTCCGTAGGGAGCCCCGCTGAAGGCCAGTTGTTGCGTCCGCATGGTGACTCGGGTCCCTTTGGGCCCAACGTTTCGTGGCCCCATAAGGAGCTCCAGCGAAGGTCCCAGTGGCTGCGTGCGCATGGTGACCCGGGTCCCTTCTGGTACAACCGTCACACGTGTCGTGGCTCCGTAGGGCGCCCCGCCGAAGGCCCCAGTGGCTGCGTCCGCATGGCGACTCGGGTCCCTTTGGGCGGACCCCTCCAACGTTTCGTGGCCCCATAAGGAGATCCAGCGAAGGCCTCAGCGGCTGCGTCCGCATGGTGGCTCGGGCCCCTTCTGGTACAACCGTCACACGTGTCGTGGCTCCGTAGGGCGCCCCGCCGAAGACCCCAGTTGTTGCGTCCGCATGGTGACTCGGGTACCTTCTGGTACAACCGTCACAAGTTTCGTGGCCTCGTAGGGAGCCCCGCCGAAGGCCCCAGTGGTTGCGTCCGCATGGTGACTCGGGTCCCTTCTGGCACACCCCTCACACGTTTCGTGGCCCCATAGGGGGCTCCCCAGAAGGCCCCAGTGGCTGCGTCCGCATGTTGAGTCGGGTCATTTCTGGCACAACCGTCACATGTGTCGTGGCTCCATGGGGAGCTCCACCGAAGGCCCCAGTGGCTGCGTCCGCATGGTGACTCGGGCCCCTCCTGACGCACCCCCCACGAGCATGGCGCATGGTCCGCGACGCGGTTTGGCTCAGAGGTAAGGTTGCTTATGTTCCCTCCTCCTGCTCCCACAGTCCTCGCCCTTGTGTTCCTCGCCGCGTGCACTGCTAACCTCCGCGTACGAATTGAATCGCGTGACTGCGTGCTGAGCGGGGTCCGATTTTCTCTGGCGAAGTTTTCAAGGGCATTGCGAACCCCCCCCAAAGGGTTCTTGTGCAGCGAGTGGTCTTGTTGATACCTTCCACGCGTCTAGAATTGGCTGGATTCTTCGCCATGGTAATTTCAACCCTGTGTGTTGTCAGAGATTTCGGCCTCGTAAGACGGCGACGATCGGAGCAGACGAAACAGGGGAATGAGGAAAGAACGGGTCAGGGGCAATTTTAAGGGGATGGGGAATGGTTTGAGGGAGATTGCACCCAGGCCCGATGGCCCACACCGTCCAGGAACTCTCGGTTTCGCTGTCGGGGGCATGTCGCCGATCTACCAGCGATGCATCGCCGATTCCAGGTCGTTGCCTCCCCCCAGAACCGACCCCCCCCCCTGATAATCGTTGCCTTTCAAAGGGTGAGTACGAAATCTGGGCGGGGGCATCCCGGATGGGCCGCGGCGGAGGAGCTCCGCAGGACACGCCGTGGAGTCGGGCCGCGATCCCGTTGTCGCACTGGGTGCCCTCGCCCAGCCTGGGGCCCTCACGGGCTGGTCCCGCTCGGGAAGAGGGCGGCGTGTGTTGGATTATAGCATGCTCCTTCTCCTCCTCCTGCTCCTGCTCCTGCACGTTCCTCCTCCTCCTCCTTCCTCCTCCTCCTCCTCCTTCCTCCTCCCCACCACCGCCCAGCCACCCCCTTCCGCCGCCTAATTTCAACAGCGGGGGGCACAAAACGCTTGCAAGTGAGTCTCGACTTGCGTGAGTCCCGACTTGCGTGGGTCCTGACTTTCGTGGCCTCGGCCCCCCCCCCCCCCCCTTCCCTCCTCCATGCAAGTAAACCTGCGGAGTCTCAAGTGAAACGGCCTCGAAGTCTCGCAGAAAGTTGGGAGCAAGTGTTCCAGACATAATTTCCCACTCTGTTGCATTTTTCCAAACGTCGAACCTCGAGGGGGGGGAACGGGAAGGTCAGAGCGCATCCTGGGAGAGGTCGAAAGGTTTATTTTGATCCGCCCTAGCTTGCACCTCCGGATGTCGCGCAACAAGTGGAGAAGCTTAGTTTTTAGGGGGCAGTTTCGGCAGCGGGCGGGGCAAACCATCATCCAGAATCGGCCGGCAACAGGAAGCCGGGAGGAGGACCCCTCCTTGAGCTCATGGTGTCTGAGCGAGTTGCGCGGTCAAACTCTGGTCAGATTTTGATTCGCACGGCAAAACGAGGTTTTCGCCATTCTATCGGGGCGGTCAAAGCCGGGGATGGAGAAATGGAGAAGGTGAGAAATCTGTAGCATGCAGCTGGTTTCAGCTCTGCCGCCATGCCCCTCGATGCGTTATCGATCCTGGTGCTGGGAGGCGCTGGGACAAGCTACCTGAGCTGATTCGCTACTCCGTCGACTACCCCCTGATTCGTCCGACCCGAGTGGAAAAAAACGAGACCTTCGAAGTATTGAACAAAAGCCAAGGCCGATGATCTTCTATGTTTGCAGCCTCTGGCGGGCCTTCGCTGGGCCCTGGGGCCGTCAAGCCCACAGATCCTATATCATGATGGGTTCCAAACGCAGCCCCCCAATCTCTCGACACCTTCCAAAGGGGCCCGCGTTTCGTCCTGGACCTTCCTCGGAGAACCCCAGAGCTCGAAAGCACGGCCCTTGGAGGCCCAGAATCGCAGGATAAACATGTCTTGACGCTTGTTCGGATGCCAGGGGTTTGGCCCCCCAGAGGTCGAACAATTCTCCGTTGCGGCCACTTCACGACGCGAGAGGGTCCAGTGGATGCGCTGGTGCGCTTTCCCTGGCCGAAGCTAGCTGAAAGTGTTCTACGAGTGCCCTGAGCCGCTCAGTGGAGCTAGTTGACGTCGCTGCGGGGGCGGAGCCCGCTCAGCATGGATCTCGACCCCCCTGAGCTACTTCGAGACCGTGCAACCCACTCACAAACTAGACTCGGCCAAATGTAACCACCGGAGCGTGCACTTTCTCAGCCCCGCATCCCCTCAATCCCCCCCACGGTGATCCCAGTTCGCCGAAACACACATAAAAATCCAGGATTGAAAAGTCATATCGTCAGAGATCTCGGATCGATGGCTGTCGGGGAACTCTGGCGGCTGTTCGGGACGATCTGGACACTCCGGAACGCCTCGGGAAGGCATCCCGAGGCTGGAAACCTCGAGCTTCAAAGCTCGAACGTCGCTGCCGCCGTCCCCCCCGCCGCTGCCGCCGTCGTTGTCCTGGCCGACGTCGTCGCGCCAACAGGATCTACGAGGAGGCCTCGCAGGCAGGGCGGCGTCGACCCAGCCGTTGTCTGCCGCTCGCGGTTGCCCTCGTCGCCGCCGCCGTCTTCAGACTCGTCCTCGCCGTAGCCCTCGTCACCGTCGGAGTAGGAGGAGGAGGAGGAGGAGGAGGAGCAAGAGGAGCAAGAGGAGGAGGAGGAGGAGGAGGAGGAGGAGGAGCATGAGCATGAGCATGATAACAAGACGAAGTCTTAAACTAAAAGCCACCCACTGACCGCCTCCAGGTAGACGAGGGAATGGTACACGTACGCGGCGAAAAACATACCAATTGAATCAAGGTTCGGCTGAGGTGAAATCGGCTCGATGCGGCCCTTATTCAATGATGTGTACAACACGAGCCCAAGTCTCGATACACAGCACTGGTCATCGGGCAACCCCTCAAAGGGATCGCCTCCTCCACAAACAGCCCCGCCATGCCAATCCAGAATGCCGTACCCACGTACGAGACAAACTATTGAATTACACTGACGTGGAGGACTGCACGCCGAAATTAGTGTATGATGCCGACACTACAAACCACGAGCTTCACCATTATTTAATGCAGAAGGACAGCGCCACCAAACAACGGTGATTGGAACAACCCTTGCACCCTCAGGTTCCTCGACACGCAGAATACAGACAAGCCAGCACCCATACATCCAGCGATGCAGCACCATGGCAGCACGTGCACATTGACAAGGAAGCCTGAACGCCGAACTGTGTGTAGCTATGAAGCCAAACCGACTGAGTACAAACATTGCCGCGATCTTCACCGTTATTGCATGCAATGAAGCTGGCACCAAACATAAAGAGCGATGATGCCCATACCCCCTGCATCCTCAGGTCCCTCGAAGCGCGGCCCGACAGCTTGAAATAGTACGCTCGGGTGCGGGCGGGTGGGTAAATGCACAACCAGGCTCCCCCCATGGGCCCCGCACCCGAGACGGACAACGAGGAATGTGCACAGGAAAGCGGAGAAAAACTCCAAACCATCCAGCCCACGCCAGCCGATTCGCTTGAGAACCACTCACAAATGCAGTAGTACGGCACCTTGGCAGAACAAAATACAAAATTGAATGACGCCTGACTGCAAGACTTCGCCCCGCCCTTAGCCGATCCGCGCCTCAAGAAAGAAGACAAGAGGTGCGGATAGCCACAAGCACGCCGCGATGAGGCGGCGGGGCAGGGCCCATGACGCGCTCGAGCCAAAAGGATCTACGCGCCTTGGGCCCCATGTGCTTGAGGAGGAGGAGGAGGAGGAGGAGGAGGAGGACCAAGACCTCCAACGCATTCAGAAAGCTACATTGAGACGCTGCTCGCCGTGTTCAGACTGTGGGGGCCTGCCGGGCGCCAGGACCGTCAGGAAACGGCTCGGGATGACGAGCCCGCCTTCGGGGAAAGGGTCCAAATTTCCGGGGGTCCCGTGCGGAAAAACACCACACATCGGATCTCTGGGAGAGAAGGGCGGAGGACAACGGAGAGGAGGAGGAGGAGGAGGAGAAGGAGGAGGAGGAGGAGTTGGAAAATGAGGGAGAGGAGGTTGGAGAGGTCGAAAAGGACACGTCCGGCGTGCTCGCGCGCCATACCTGACATCCTACCCCTCCCTCCAATCACTTCCCACTGCGCCCAGTGGTTTCTATCGGCTGATGCGTGTCAAAGTGGACATGGAGCTCCAAAAAGGACCCTTCATCGTGCATGGCCAATCGGAACAGGGAGCTGACGTGGGGAAGAGAAGGGGCCAGATGATGAGAAAAGAGGAAGACGATGAAGACGAACAGCTGCAGCAGCAGGAGCTTCAGTGGATGGTGCGGGAGGAGCAGGAGGACCCGCACAGCAAATTTCGGGAGAGAGAGAGAGAGAGACAGAGAGAGAGAGAGAGACAGAGAGGGAGAGAGAGATGAGAGCAGCAGTATGATTGTGCAGTCGTGGAGATGGATGAAGATGGAGGAGGTGAAGAAGATGGATTGGAGAAAAAGAGGAGGTGGAGGACGAGGAGCGAGCCCTCCTCGTCGATCCGAGGAGGAAGGGGTGACGAGGACAAGGGGGGGGGGAGCGAGGATGAAAGGTGAGCCCTCCCCGATGAGACGTGGGAGGAGGTTGGCTGGGGACCTGGTGAGCCAAGGTTGAGGAAATGGAGAGGGGGGGGAAGGAGGGGGGGGGGGGGCGGAAGGAGCACAAGGCAGCCCTCCTCGTCGATCAGGAGAGGGAAGAGGGGAGGAGTAGGAGGAGGAGGAAGAGGGGGAGGGGGATCAAGGAGGCGCAACCAGGCGGCATTGGTCTCATGGTCTCATGTTCGGCTGATACAGTCCCCGATCCTTGGCTCTAGCGCCCACGCGCTAGATACACGGATCTGTAATCCATGTTAGCGTGCGCCCGAGAGAAACAGGGGTGAGCAAAGCAACCAGAAGGGAGTTTTCTTTGTCGATCTTCCAGCTGTTGGTCGTGCTGCTCCCCATTTCGTCGATCCTCCAGCTCCTGGACGTGCCTTCGCGCTTGTCGTCGTCTGCTTGCTTCTCCTCCCCTCCCTCCCTCATCGTCGGCGAGCAGAACAGACTGCCTGGGGCTGGTGAGGCCACCTAGGACCTAGTCTGCGCCAGGCACTTCGAACTGCCCGCATCTACACATCAAACCTTCTAGAATGTTCTAATGTGTCAGAAACTCCAGGAAATCCACCCCACGACACGCGGAAACACACACACACACACATTAGCGACCATCCTTCCGCGTCTCGTCCTCCACGTCCTCCCCATCCTCTTCCTGTCCCCCCTCCGCCTCCTTTCCCACCCTTTTCCCTTCATTTTCCACCGTCCTCATGAACTCTCCACCTTATCTCCCTCGTTTTCCGTGATCCTCTCTTTCCCTCCTTCGGTCCCTCCCTCCAGCCGCCTCCTCACTTCCTTGTCCGTGCAGCTAACTCACCTATGTCGCGCCCCCAGGACGGGTCGGTAGCGCAGGCCGGGCGTGTCGCCTGAGAACCCCATCGTTCTCTTAGAATTTGGACTTTGATATCTAGCAGCAGTTGCACGATTGGAGGTGGTATGACATTCAAAATGGGGTTCTCGCCTGTGCGCCGCGCGCTTTCATTTTAAAAGCTTGCGGGTGGCTCCTCTTGGACATTGTTTATCGCCTCAGCGCCGCGCGCATTCGTTTTAAGAGCTTGTAGCTGTTGCAAGCATGGAGGAAGGCTCATGTCTGAATGTGTGGTTGTGCCCTGAGACTTCCTCCAATCAAGCGGCCCGAATTCTTGAACCCATGTGCAGATGAGGGGCCTGTATGTTGAATATTGAAGCTGGCGCTTTAGTCGTCTTCAACTATTGGTTGAGTGAATTTGCAACCATGTGCAACAATTACACTGGTGAGGGCGGTGGCTTTTAAAAACGGGGCAATCGGTGGACAGTTCGTTGAAAGGGCGCTTCTTGTAGTGGACAAAAAGGTTTGTATGGGACGGGCGCGCGTAGTGAAACATGATGACGCAGCCTGGTTTCACGGGGAGGCTGGGAACATATGTGCGGCGCGGGCCCGGTTGTGTTCCATGCTTTGGGCTTCCAGTTGTCCTTTTTTTCCTCAAGCCACGCCCAACATGACAAAGGGTAGTTCAACCCCTCTGAGGAATCAGCCCCACGTTTTGTATTTCCAAGGCCCCGCGCGCGCCCGCCAAGGCCTTTCAAACGTCTTGTTGTTTCCTCAATCCGCGTGTTTTTCTTCGTTTTTCCCCAATCAGAGCTTGCCTCTGTAGAGGTCCTAGCGGATTTAAGGGTAGGTGAGGTGCGCCGCCGATTAGGTGGCCCGGCCTGGGGCCCGGGTGCCCGGGTGCCCGGGTGCCCGGGTGCCCCGGTTCGCCGCCGATTCGGTGGCCGGGCCCGGGTGCCCGATGCCCGGGTGCCCAGGTGCCCAGGTGACGGGTGCCCGGTGCCCGGGTGGGTGCCCGGGTGCCGGGTGCCGGGTGCCTGGGTGCCTGGTGCCCTGTAACCCTATAGCCTTATAGCCTTATAGCCCTATACCCCTATCGCCCTATAGCCTCATAGCCCTATAGTAGCCTAGCTATATAGCCCCAAACAAATTCTAGACGCTTCGCTTATCCCCACCAGCCCATCCCGAAACGATGTCCAGGCGAGTTGACGTGATCAGGGAAGTGCGGCAGCAAAGAGGAGGACGGCCGAACCGTGCAAAGGAGTGAGGAGGAGAAGGAGGAGGTGGATGGATGGATGGATGAGGGAGTGGGAAGACGGAGGATGAATAGGATGAGGAGGAGGCGGAGGAGGAGGAGGAGGAGGAGGAGGAGGAAGAGAAGGAGTAGGAGCAGGAAGGAGGAACAGGAGGAGGAGGAGGAGCAAGCACAAGGGCCAGAGGTCTCTTGGATGCCTCTAGGAGCCTCTTGGAGTATCTCTTGGGCGATTCTTGGGGGCCTCTTGGGACGTCTTGGGGGTCTCTTGGCGATCCTGGGGGGCTCTTCGGGGTCTTGGGTGCCTCGGGGGGGGGCCTCTTGGGGCCTCTGAGGGTCTTCTTGGGGGCCTTCTGGGGGCCTCTTGGGGGCCTCTTGGGGCCATCTTGGGGCCATCTTGGGACCTCTTGGGGCCTCCTGGGCGCTTCTTTGTGCCATCTTGGAGGAGATCTATCAAAGAAGAGCTGAGCTTTAATTAGCGTTGCCCCCCCAGGAGGCCAAAATGGTGCCAAAACCCTGCTAAAATCAATGATTGTGGCTTCCTCGCCGAGGCTGTTTTGGACGCTCTGACCGCTCCCCGCCCCTCCTGCCCAGGTCAGTGGGGAGGGGGTAGGGGGAGGGGTAAACCCCTCCCCGAAGGGGAAGAGGGAGGGGTGGAAGAGGAAACGCCCTAAACCACCGACGCCCAGAGGGCTGGTGGGATTCTGATTGGGTTTTTTCTCCGGTATCATGCAGAGGCGGGCTTCCCAAAGGGGCTCCGCCGACGACGAATTCTTGCGCGGCGGTGGCCAAGCCTTTTTGTAGTGTGTTTTTGCAGTGGTTCGCGCGGGGGGATCGCGCGCC